AGACAAAAATATTTCCTTGTCAGATATGCAGCAGTTTGAGAACTTTGGCTTCCTGGTTTTGGTACCTCTAGAACCAACAGTCACTAAGCACCATGAAATAGGCTTTTAAAATATAATTCTGTACCTGAATTTTTCCTCCTCTTTTAACATCATAATGGCTTTTAGAAGGAAAAAGAAAGAAAGTACAAGATGACATTTACATCTAATATTGCATTGAAAGAAAATTAAGGGAATGTAATTTCCCTGTGTAATATCCCCACCCTCCGAACTACACACAGTCTGTTTAACCCTGATATCCGTGACTTCCAGTCACTCCTTGGCATTTTGTAGTCCAGAAATAATTCAAGTTGGATTTACAAATGGAATGATAGAAGATCCAGTCATTAACCCCGAAGTTTTGGTTCTCTTTTCTTTTAAATGTATGTATACAAAAAAAGTTGCAAAGTCTGTATGCAGTTATCCCTCTTTTCCACTCTTTGGAAGACTTCACCTTGATTCTCTGTAGTGCTTAAACTGTGTTCTCCCTGTCTTGTGGAAGACGGCCCTTGTGCTGTAAATACTGAATCTCTGTGGCAGTTCGGGAAAGATCCACTGCTTCCAATTAAAAGTGCCTCTTCATGTGTAAGGCGAGGTGGTCCGACCTGGAAAACGCTCTGTCACACCGCTGGCACTGGAAAGGGCGATGGCCCGTGTGTTTTCTGTAGTGACGAGTAAGTTCATCGGATCGTGCAAACTTCCATCCGCAGCCTTCCCAGTCACAGTGATAAGGTTTCTCACCTTTAAAAAAAACAGAAAATAAACCATGTCAGTTTGGTTTTTTACATGGCTACCACTTCTAACACCTTTCTTTCAAGAACTGCTAACATAGATTGCCCTGGGTAAGAAAAAGGGTGCTGTCCAAGAAAATGCAGCAAACTTCTTGAAGCAGTTGCAAGCAAACTACGAAAACGGAGTAAGACTGTCTTTTCAAGATGTACAGTTACAACAAAATGCTGGTGTCACTGAAATCTTTGCTAAAATGTTCATTTCCACTGTTTGTCTTGCACATGAGGCCTTAGAACACAAGTTCAGATAATAGAGTGTATTTTTGACAGATAAAAGGTATGTGATCAAACAGTAACCAGAAATGGCTCAGCAGACATAATTTAGATAATTGTAGGTCTTCAAGAATAAAAAACCAGCTGGAAATTGTTTTAATTAGCTCAGTCTGATTAAGAACTCAATCTTACTGTCTTCACTGTAACAAAGCCACTGTTGGCAGCATGACAACCTCCCCTGACAATTATGAGCTCCTGGTAGTATACATACTGGAGACCATGCTGACCTGCTGGGGACAGATGAGAAGTACTATTCACTGGACTGATTTCTTCCCCCGCCCCCCAGCCATTAGTTGAAGACGTAGCCGAACTACTTCACTACCAGGAGTTCCTCCCTTTTCCACCTCCTCTTCAGGAGGAAGTTTTGAATCAAGTTCAGAATCTAGGGATTTAAATTATGCAAATTCCTAGGTTATTCAATCAGTGTTACGGAATGCCCGCACTGGTGAAACTGCGCACAATGTACCTGCTGTCACAAGCTCAGTTACTGCAACACCACATTTGGCTGCAAAGTGAAAGTTTGAACTCTGGCTCAGATACACACTTCAGCAGGTTCTACCCCAATCCTAGCAGTAGCCAATGAACTGTTAAACTCTGCCTCTCTGGTGCTAGCACCGGGGAAGTTGTGCTCCCACATGTAGGCGAGGCACCCTGTCAGTGCTGCCGAAAGCCCCACTCGCAAGGGACCCAACAGTTTCCTCAGAAAGTGAACAGCACCTTGCAGAGGAGCACGATCTCTTGCAGTAGAGCAAGTCAAGAGGTATGCGTGTGTGAAGCACTTAAACATGAGCAAAGAAAGCAGCGTCTTAGAGGTCTGCTCCCTTCTCAGAAGTGGGCCAACACCATCTAGAGCAACAAATCCCAGCTGACTTCCAACTACCTGCTAATTAGCTAGCCACATAGCATGAGAGGAGTATCAAACTTTGCCTTGGCAAGAAACCCACCCGCTCCCACATCTGAGTCATTCTGAACCATTAAGCAAAATGCCAAGCCAATAAGCAAAGACTGTAAAGAACTTCACATAGCCAAAGGGTGAGGAAAAAATAAGTCGGGAAACTCGGCAGAGAAGGGTTACAACTTGCCACTTTTAGCCCCACCTCCTGTTCTCATCCCTCTTCACTGTCTGAGGGGCTCATCCCATGCCTCTCAGGCCAGGGCAACCCACTGACCTCACGCTGGGACTAACCTGTGTGGGTTCGCAGATGTGCCTTGAGATGAGAGCTCTTAGTGTACGTTTTGCCGCAGCCCGCGTAGTCACAGGTATGTGTGGCCGTCCTTTTCCTAGGCCATGACCGACGTCCCCTCTTGGGCTTGGTCTCCTCAGGCAGGCAGCTCCCTGGTGGCATCAGCTCTGGAGGCAGACAGGGAGGGGTGAGCACCGTTGCCACCAGCGCCGAAGTGGTCGCGGAAGCACAGGGACTCACCTTGGTACTGGAGCGTGCTGGGTGGCAGCTGCTCAGGCATGAAGGCAGGGTAACCAGGTGCCTGGGGATACCCTGGGGGCAGTGGCAGAGGTGGGTGGCTCAGCCCCGGGGTGGCAGGGAGACAGTCTCTGCTGCTTAGCATCTCCTCGGGCCCCAGTGAAGGCGTAGTCCGGG